AACAGCTATCCAAGATATTCTTCAGTTAAAAATTTAATAAGTTGGAAATGAAGTTACTGAAACCCGAAACATCCCAGGGCCAATTGAAGACTTACTGCATACAACATATTAAACAAATTTGGGTAAAAATTCATGATCACTTTCCATGATTTTGAAAAAGGGAAGTTTATTTTTATGGTTGTTCACAGAGTTTATTCACAAAACCATATGCCATTTTCCAGGGGACAATGTCATTAGGAAAAATTAATATGATCAGGGTAAACTGGATGAGTATTGGTAGGCTTTGGGTGAGGACTGGCAGGTTTAGAACTGGTTTCACTGGGTGAGGACTGAGAAGTTACCTAACAGTTTGAAGGATGGCTGAGGATGGTAGGCTGGGTGTGGTGTTATTTATCTAATCTACCTTAAGAGACAAACAGCAATAATGAAGTCATTTATATTTCAATCATCTATTTTTTTATAATTTCTCTGAATGTATTCCTAACAAAGCTTCATGGCACTATGTTTTCTGGTTCTTTTTTTATATAAAAATTTTTCAGTGCCAGGTAATACAATATGTAATACAGTATGTAACATGTTCAACAGGTACAGTATTAGTGAGTGCTGTATTTTTATAAAAAAAAAAGTTCATGAATGATGGTGAATGTTTCCCTTTTTTGGGTCATCATAATTTTTGTGAAAAATGGCTACTGTGGCTAAAAAGAAATTTCAGTATCAGATTTGATTTAGTATACAACCACTTTCTCCTGAATTTTGTTCCAGAAAACAGAGCTACACATGAAAAAGCAATGGGTGGAATGAAAAACTTTGGGATTTTAACTTTTTGTTTACAGCATGGGAGATTCTTTGAGAGATTTAAAAAAGCATTGGGTCTGCACTTTAAGTCACCTATCACCTTCAGCGCAAGCTGAAATGGTCCTTTGCTGCACTGAATCCTGGAGCACTTTTCTCATACCTGTGATGTAAGATTCTAGAGGGCATCTTCAACAACAATCTACTGCATCAGCATTAAACACTTGCTCAGGTGCATAGCCATCCCTCAGAGAATGCAGAGGCATTCTCACCACTGAAATTTACATTATGAAGCTTACTGAGCATTTTAAAAAATTTTTTAAACCAACCATGACTAAATGTATATTCATTTGCAGGCATTCCTTTTGATTACGTTTTATAGTAAGATAAGCCTTCTCATGGATCATAAGGAAATTAATGGGGTACATTGCTTTCTCCTGAATCCAGCCATTCAGCATTTCAGTTTTATTTTTGCTCTACTGGCTGCTTCCCCATTTTTTCAACAGGTCACAAAATTTTAGTTACTCATCACAAAAGCTTGTTTTTCCTCATGTTTGAACTGAACGAAATGTTGATTCCCTCTCACTACGGCTCTGGCTGCGCAACCATACGTGCACCACCTTTCAGCAGAGGCATAATTTTCATGGTTTTCACTTCTTTGCACCTTTACCTACACTAGATTTCCTTTTTGTTTCCCTGATTAAAGCTAGGTCTACTATGAAACAAAAGGCCTGAGCCAAGTGGGAAGGGAATTAACCCGCCTTTGCCACCTCAATGACTGGCCACATCGAAGACAAGGAAATGAAAAATGAATAGTAAACAGATAAAAAGGTGCCTCTGTAAAAGAGGCACAAAAGGTGGTGATCTATTTGTAATAGTACTTTTAATCACATATACTATAAATTCCATTCATTATTCCTTTTATCTCTCATGTGCTTTCATTCCTTACTCAAATTTTTTTTTTTAGTATTTTTTATTAGCACACTGGCCGATTCCACCAAGGCAGGGTGGCCTGAAAAAGAAAAACTTTCACCATCATTCACTCCGTGTAATAATGTTGGTAGAATTACCGACAATATGTAAAATAAAGGACACAAGTGCTCAAGGCTCAGAGTGAGGTGCAATACTAGTGGTAGTATACTACTTCTTTCCCCTAGTATTGCACCTCACTCTCAGCCTATATATACCCTCTAGGTCCATGTTTCTGTTTGTAACGGCTTGATAAAGCTCCTGGAGAGCGAAACGTTGCCACAAAAAAAAGTCAATTAGTTGCACTTGTGTCCTTTTACTTTACATCATTCATTCCATCACTGTCTTGCCAAAAAGGGTGCTTTACACTTTCAGTTTTTAAACTGCCAACATTAACAACCCTCCTTCAGAGTGCATGAATAACATGCATTTAAAAATGATTAGTATAAGATATTAAAAAAAAAAGGACTCCTCCTCAGATTCTTAAATGGTTCTGTTGAAGTTATGGAACATTCCCATTTTCTTGTTTCTTGGTTTCTTACCTCTGCCCGCTCCAAGATGTACTTAGCATTCCTCTTTCTCACCCCAGAGTCCACATCCATCTGTCACCATTGCCAAGTATCCCTTTGGTTGTTTGTACATGACTTAATCATCCATTGGGGACCCATGTTGGTAATGCTCCCCAAGGAGACTCCTCAATTGCTCTCCCTATCTTTAAGGTGCCCATACTGTTAAAAAAGTAAACGATAAGGACTAAGGCAAAACATCTGGAATTTTATTAGTACACTATTGACTATTTACAACCTCTGATGAAAAAAAAGAAAATCCTTAAACAGAAACTAAGTTTCAAAAAATCATACCATCCCTGGGTACAAAGAGCTTTCATGGCACACAAGTACGATAAGGCAAACCTAAATTACTAGGAACAGTTGAAGGTCCTTGATCTGTATTTTCCCTGGAATGCAGGCGAGAGAGATACATGATAATATACACTTGGAGGTTCCTGGAGGGATTGGTACCAAACCTGCACACGAAAATCATCCCCATGAAAGCAAAAGACTCGGCAGGAGATGTAAATTCCCCTGATGAAAGCAGGGGCACCACGAGTACATTGAGAGACAGCACAATAAGTGTCCGGGGCCAAGACTGTTCAACTGCTCCCAACATAGCTGGTGGCTAAAGCTCCCGCTTCACACACGGAGGGCCCCGGGTTCGATTTCCCCGGGGGTGGGAAAAATTCGACACGTTTCCTTACACCTGTTGTCCTGTTCACCTAGCAGCAAAATAGGTACCTGGGTGTTAGTCGATGGTGTGGGTCGCATCCTGGGGGACAAGATTAAGGACCCAATGGAAAAAAGTTAGAACGTCCCCGATGACGCACTGACTTTCTTGGGTTATCCTGGGGGGGCTAACCCTCCGGGGTTAAAAAACCAAACGAAATCCCATCCTATCCATTCCCTACCCTGGCTGTCTTCAAGAAGCCACTGGATAGACACCTAAAGTCAGTACCTGACCAAATGGGCTGTGGGTCGTACGCCAGTTTGTGTGCGGCCAGCGCAACAGCCTGGTTGATCAAACCCTGATCCACCCTGAGGCTGGTCTCAGACCCAGCCTCGGGGTCGTTGCCCCAAAATCCTCTCCAGGTAAACTCCATGTGAACCCTTTCACTATTTGACCTTCAAGAAAAAAAATTATAATTTTATCATCTGAAGTGGTAGAGAATCTTTTCTGAAGGTAATGACACCCAAAAATACAAAATTGGTGGAAAAACTTGAGAAGTATGCACTTAAAATCTTGGCAGTCTGAGCACAATTTATGCAACAGCAAATTTACCCACTTTTGAGCTGTTTTAAGCCAATTCCATTGCTCAGTTCTTAACTATTTTGCTAGTATGCCTTCCATTCTATCAATTAAGCACAAAAACTGCTCATTCAACTATCAGAAACACTATATAAAGTGCAGAGAAGTCGATAATTTTACACAAAATTCAACAAATTCCAAATGACAAAGAGCCCAAAATATACACTGTGGGCATTCCAATCACTAAAGCAAGCTTTCCTCTGTTCATTAATCAAATCCCCAGGCCTCTACTATAGAACACCTGTCCTCCATTTTGTATCCATCATCACACCTGGTCACAGACAAGGCCGCAGGGGCATTGACCCCCGAAACCCTCTCCAGGTATACACACAAAAAAATCGATATTCACTCTATTTCTCGGATCAATAAAATATAACCAAGCATGACTGTTCATGGTTCAGGCCATCTGATAACTGAAAAAGATCTAGTAAAAACTAATAAAATAAACTGGGGGGGGGGGGGTGGAGGGGAGGGAGGCCCAACTTTTCCCTCAGGAAAACATCCAAAAATCGAATATTTTTACCACTTTGAGGCCTATTTATTTTACAGGTCAGCTCTCTTCAAAAAATCTCCATGCTTTAAACCAAGCCAATGCTAATGTTTAAAAAACTAATTTAAACTTAATGTTACATGCACACTGTCAGCTATAAAAATGAAAACAATGGTATGATTATACATAATGATTATAAAGTGGTTATGCTTGGCATAACAAGGCTCTTTCCTTAATATATACAAAAAGATATATCAATTTTGTATATGTACAAGGAAATTATTAACATACCTATTGTAATAAACATATTTATGTTACTGTTAGGACCAAAATAGAAATAAGTCAATTTGACTTTTTAGGTTATCCTAGGTAATCTATTTATGATGAATGGTTTTGAAAACCGACTAGTTGAAGAATTGACATTTATGCAACATATGTTGCATAAGTGTCTCAATTCTTCAACTTGTTGGTTTTCAAAGCCATTCATCACACGTCAGACACTGCAACATCATGGGATCTTGGTACAAAGACTTCTTCAACACTTGTCCAACCTTTGGACGACGACCAACTTACACTAGTGACAGGTCCCACTGTGATCCTGCTTCTACTCACCTGACTGCAGTATATAAGCCACCTCTCTGGCACTATGCTGTACTTCCTACAAGAGTGATGGACTGAACACATCGATTCCAGGCTGAGGGACTGATTACCTCAAACTCCTCCTGTCCTTACCGATTTCTATTTTGTATTGGACTGATGAATCCACTGTGTGGCGAAACGTTTCTTCAATAAAGATTCCCATATGTTGCATAAGTGTCTCAGTTCTAGGTAATATGCACATGTGCTGATATGTATGTATGATAATTTGTGTAACTGTATTTATGTGTACCTGTGCCTGAATGATCTTACTTATTATACAAGCAAGTAATTGTTGTTGTTGGGGTTTATAGGGCCACTGACAGCAGTTAACCGTTGATAACTGTTGTTGATAGTGGTATATAGGGACACATAGTTACTTTTAATGTTGTGTTGTTCCTATTGCGCTTAACCCTTTTGGGGCCTAGTTCCTAGGACTTTTGTGTTATCCATATACTCTTGCGCTACCGTTCACAGGATGGATTGAGGTGCACAATAAACTAGCCACTTCGGTGGCAAAATAAAAAAAAATTGCGCTTAAGGGCCACTAAAGTACACCCCTTATTGAGCCTCCCTTCTTGGCTTATGTAAAATATATGTTGCCCAAATATGGGCGGGAATTAGAAACGAAACAAAGTTTTTTCCGGAAAAAAGAACTCGAACATAAAACTCCCAACTTAGAGTCAGACTTCTCACTCCCTGAGTACGCATGGAAATAAGTCACTGTCTGACTTTTTTGGGTTATCCTAGGTTCTCTACACATATGCTGTTGTGTATGATAATCTATGTAACTGTATTTGTGCATACCTGAATAAACTTACTGACTTAATTACTTACTTATGTTTATCAGGGCCACTTACTGAGTACGCCGTATCGAGCCCGACTTCCCGATGTATGGGGAAGATTTGTTGCCCGAACCTGAGCCATTAAAGAAAAGCGAACAAGAGTTTCTTTATAAATAGAAACTGGAACTAGAAATTCCTAATTAGATCAAGTGGACCCCCTTTGTCAGGTCCCAGCAGAGCGGGACGCCCACACCCCCACCTAAGTTCAGTAACCGAGTTCCCACCAAAACCGTTAATGACTATCCAAAAAACGGAAAATGGAGCTGGCTAGAAGTAAGCCGATGGTAGGTGCCCCTCCTATAATGTGCCCGAAGGGCAGAGTAGATGAGGGCACGCGCCCCAGAGAGAACGAGGGGAAATTTGTCACTGATACTCAGGCGAGAGTGAGACGTCCACTCCCGACTAAGGCTGGCGCAGAAGTCCAGTAAGCACGTTTTTTTCGTGTTGTTTGGGTCTATAGGGCCACTGCCGGCGTACGTCGTATTGAATCCTGTCTTCCGGTGTCTGGCAGCACGACTCATTAACTTGCAATATCCATGGAAGAAACCCTGGCCAAGGTGTAAGGACACGACTAGCAGTTATGTGTATGTCCCTAATGTGCCCCGAGGCTAGTAGGAAGGAGTGGTAGGGTCAAGGACTGCACTCCAAATGGACACAAGGCAGCACGGAGGAGAATCCCACAGAGTGGTAACGGAGTAAGCACCGCTAAAAAAAAATGGCCATAGCTGATTACAATTATCATACACAGTAACACTTTAAAACTTGAAATTATCTAGAGTAACCCCAAAAAGTCAGACAAAGTGACTTATTTCCATTGGGGTGGACAGTAAACAAGTCACTTTGGCTGTACAACTAACACTATGAAAGAGGCACAGGAACTGTGGCTCAACACTCTCACGAGACCCAGGAGCCACAGCTGACCCCAGTCATATACTGCGTCAATATAAGAATCACTCGCTGAAACTTAGTTCGCAATTACCTTAGAGTTTTCCACACCATCAAGGGGAAAACATCATCAATTTCATAGTAATACCAGGGAACACAACATTATTCAAAAATATATTAACTCTGAATTAAGTCAGATTTATTAATTTGTTTTAGATTTTTCAAAAAATAACCTCTTGAATGACTTAAAGAAATTATGCAATATACATACATACACACACACACACACAAAGCGAAGAGGCGGGGCCAGGAGCTGTGACTCGACCCCTGCAACCACAAATAGGTGAGTACACTAACTAACACACACACATACACACACACACACACACACACACACACACATATATATATATATATATATATATATATATATATATATATATATATATATATATATATATATGTATGTATATATATATATATATATATATATATATATATATTATATATATATATATATATATATATATGTTATATATATATATATATATATATATATATATATATATATATATATATATATATATATATATATATATATATATATATATATGTGTGTGTGTGTGTGTGTATGTATGTACATTGCATAATTTCTTTAAGTCATTCAAGAGGTTATTTTTTGAAAAATCTAAAACAAATTAATAAATCTGACTTAATTCAGAGTTAATATATTTTTGAATAATGTGTTCCCTGGTATTACCATGAAATTGATGATGTTTTCCCCTTGATGGTGTGGAAAACTCTAAGGTAATTGCGAACTAAGTTCGCAAATGAACAATGATAATTATTATTTATCAGTTAGACAAGTAGGAATTTGGGACACCTAGGTCGCAAAAAATGCCCCCCTTCGATACCTACCACTGTCATATCCACAAGTTGCTCTGGACCTATTAATTAAATTAATTATACATCAGAAATTCTGGTAAATATATAAATTTGTGGACTGTATATTAAAAAATGATTATATATAAACACAATTACATAACAGAAGGAAAATATATCTTAATATCACTCACCAATTTGACTGGATATTAAGTTGTATCATACTCAGAAAAACCTCACTAACTAAATTTATGAAAACACTGGCCAGAATTATACACAAATCTAGAGAGCTTATCTGAGGTTCATGGAGCTGTCTTGTCCAGTCGTCTGATATCTCAAGTTATGCAGGAATGCACATCCAACAATTTCGCCTCCTATTTGAGAGGTGTCAATCTAATTTTAACCTCTAGAGCGCGAAAAATTCTTCCCATTATATTAACGTTGTATCCAATTCAAAAAACCAAGATGGCGAGTCCCCTCTCTGCAGACGCAGGCTTTCCGTTTTCTATGACAAATATTATTAAATACAGTATGGCCATCTATTTACATATAAATACTGAATTTCTGGAAAATATATACAGTATTTTCCACATATATATAAGTATTATCTCCGACATTAATATATCAGTGTGTGAAATAAAATTAGTATATTACTACATACACTTTCCGAAACTATTCTTTCTCTAAGACACACCAGCATCGAAAGTTGAACATTATCCAGTTATCACATGGAAACCAATCTTTTAATTTTAAAATAAAAAGTAGAGTGGGGCCGACACACTCAAGTATCAATGTAAACCTTCCTTTGAGCAAAATGCACCAGCACTGAAAGTTGGAAACCGATTAGAATTTTGAAGCTGTTTAGAAGAGGCTTTCTTGAGTTATTTCACGGGGGGGGGGGAGGATTTTTGATTCGCCAGTTATGATGAAATTTTGAAGACTACTAAAAAAAGCATTCGAAATGCAATATTAGTTTCAGTGTTATAATTATAGCACGGAAAATAACATTACATTTCGATCTTTGTAACTGGTAAAGTGACACCACTAGGTATGGCACACCAGCGTTCGATGTTTGAAGTCGCTCAGGTGATGTGTTCTCGAGTTATCTGGAGTTTACCTGGAGAGAGTTCCGGGGGTCACCGTCCCCGCGGCCCGGTCTGTGACCAGGCCTCCTGGTGGATCAGAGCCTGATCAACCAGGCTGTTACTGCTGGCTGCACGCAAACCAACGTACGAGCCACAGCCCGGCTGATCAGGAACTGACTTTAGGTGCTTGTCCAGTGCCAGCTTGAAGACTGCCAGGGGTCTGTTGGTAATCCCCCTTATGTGTGCTGGGAGGCAGTTGAACAGTCTCGGGCCCCTGACACTTATTGTATGGTCTCTTAACGTGCTAGTGACACCCCTGCTTTTCATTGGGGGATGGTGCATCGTTCTGCCAAGTCTTTTGCTTTCGTAGTGAGTGATTTTCGTTGTGCAAGTTCGGTTACTATGTCCCTCTAGGATTTTCCAGGTGTATATAATCATGTATCTCTCCCTCCTGCGTTCCAGGGAATACAGGTTTAGGAACCTCAAGCGCTCCCAGTAATTGAGGTGTTTTATCTCCGTATGCGCGCCGTGAAAGTTCTCTGTACATTTTCTAGGTCGGCAATTTCACCTGCCTTGAAAGGTGCTGTTAGTGTGCAGCAATATTCCAGCCTAGATAGAACAAGTGACCTGAAGAGTGTCATCATGGGCTTGGCCTCCCTAGTTTTGAGGTTCTCATTATCCATCCTGTCATTTTTCTAGCAGATGCGATTGATGCAATGTTATGGTCCTTGAAGGTGAGATCCTCCGACATGATCACTCCCAGGTCTTTGACGTTGGTGTTTCGCTCTATTTTGTGGCCAGAATTTGTTTTGTACTCTGATGAAGATTTAATTTCCTCATGTTTACCATATCTGAGTATTGAAATTTCTCATCGTTGAACTTCATATTGTTTTCTGCAGCCCACTGAAAGATTGGTTGATGTCCGCCTGGAGCTTTGCAGTGTCTGCAATGGAAGACACTGTCATGCAGATTCGGGTGTCATCTGCAAGGAAGACACGGTGCTGTGGCTGACATCCTTGTCTATGTCGGATATGAGGATGAGGAACAAGATGGGAGCGAGTATTGTGCCTTGTGGAACAGAGCTTTTCACCGTAGCTGCCTCGGACTTTACTCTGTTGACGATTACTCTCTGTGTTCTGTTAGTGAGGAAATTATAGATCCATCGACTGACTTTTCCTGTTATTCCTTTAGCACGCATTTTGTGCGCTATTATGCCATGGTCACACTTGTCGAAGGCTTTTGCAAAGTCTGTATAAATTACATCTGCATTCTTTTTGTCTTCTATTGCATTTAGGACCTTGTCGTAGTGATCCAATAGTTGAGACAGACAGGAGCGACCTGTTCTAAACCCATGTTGCCCTGGGTTGTGTAACTGATGGGTTTCTAGATGGGTGGTGATCTTGCTTCTTAGGACCCTTTCAAAGATTTTTATGATATGGGATGTTAGTGCTATTGGTCTGTAGTTCTTTGCTGTTGCTTTACTGCCCCCTTTGTGGAGTGGGGCTATGTCTGTTGTTTTTAGTAACTGTGGGACGACCCCCGTGTCCATGCTCCCTCTCCATAGGATGGAAAAGGCTCGTGATAGGGGCTTCTTGCAGTTCTTGATGAACACAGAGTTCCATGAGTCTGGCCCTGGGGCAGAGTGCATGGGCACGAAAATC